CTGTGAACATAGATAGGTTGCTAGTATTACCTCAGCAATTTCTAGTGTCTGAAAGGATCAGTAATCAATCTAATCTATAGGTGGTAGGTAGTTCCTAAGCATGACATGAATATAGAGGAGCTCATTTTAGTTACAGCAATGGTGATGCCTGCAATAAAATTGTTTTGGTCTCCTAAGTAGAGTGAGACTTAACAAGCCTCATGTTGGACCAGAAGGCGAAGAGTAAGCAAAGGGTTGTAAGGGCATCTCTCTGGAGTCATATGGCTTTATTTGCACTGTCTTTTGCAGACTTTTTAATCCACAAAATCCAGGAATCAGTATTTACTCCTTGATTTCCACAGTTGCTAGAACGGTTCCACCCTTGCCTCTGTATCTGAAGCTATACTCCAGAGACTTCAGAATTTCCTTATGCGTTAGCAGGTGCTGTTAACTAACAGATAATGAATTCATGGCAAATTAGTTTGCCTGTAATTCAATGTTTGTTCTTTGAGTTCCCATTAGATGTTTTAGTTCTACTGGTATGCCTAAAATTGTTTAAGTCATATATTAAAAAAAAACCCTTTAGAATGAGAGAAAACATGTGCTATTCAGAAACTTGAGTGGGATTAATACTGAGAGTACATAATATATTTAAGCTTAACAACAAGTCAAATGTAAACAGATAATTAAATACTTATTTCTTCAAAGGTGTTCTAAAAATTGGCAAAATATATTCTAATATATAACACCATAAATAATTGGAGAAATACAAACCAAAGCTGTGAGTTATTTATCAACTCATTCTCATTAGAAACACTAATATATGTGAGTCTAGGGATGTAGACAACCTACAACCCTTGTGCACAAGCATAAAATAATATAATGACTGTGGAAACAAGTGTGAAAAGTCTCCAAACCATTAAAACTGGAAATGCCATAAGTCCTGAAAAACCATTTCTGCACATATGTGTTTAAAAATTAAAAGCAAGATGCCAAAGAAATATTCCAATAGTGTATTTATAGCATTATAATTCATGGTGGCCACCAAATAGAAGATACATAACATCCATTATGAGGTGAGTGAATAGATAAGACACTGCTCTTTATAGATAGTGAAAAAACATTCAGTCTTCCAGAAAGGGTACACATGGCACCCCTTCCTGTCACATGGTACACACAAATGAACTTTGATAATATATGCTAAGTGAAACAAGTCAATCAGAAAAGAAAGTCTGCAGGGTCCCACTTACTTATAGGAGGTACCATAAGTTGTCGAGTTTAGGAAAATAGTGAGTAAAATGTTAGTTTAAGTGTCTATTAAAAGAGGATCTTTTGATTAATGGGTACAGAACTTCAGATTTGCAATATAAATTTTTTCTGGAAATCTCAATTCCATAGTGTGGATACACTTAACATCCAAAATGTAAACTTAAAATGGGTAATGTGGTAAGTTTTAGGTTACGATTTTCTAACCACAATTAGTCCATCAACAAAATATGCAAATGCTAAGAAAACGAGCAGAGATAAGTAGAGTGGTCTCCACACAGGCCATGGGCAGCACAAGACCACATGGAGGCAGTTAAGAGCCCTAAAGAGTTAAGAAGGCCTGGGTGTCCCTAAATGATTTGTTTTTGTTATGTGGGGAAGAAACTTCTCCAATTTTCTAGTTTTGCCTCTGGCAAGCCCTAAACCTTGTTTTGCTGCTTTGGAGAGACTCTGATACTCTTTTTTAAGGACTTCATATACTTACATGCCCTCATCCATTCAGCAAACATACCCTGAGGCTTTACTACAGCCAGTCTCTCAGCCCTGGTGATACAGAGACAACAAGACCCAGACCTTACAAAGAGATATTCGGGATTAGAGATTCCCTGAGAAGTTTGTGAAATACATCCCTGGCTAAGACATAAGATTTTAACCTAAACAGCTGAGGGACAAAATAAAAGTACTGCTCCAATATTCAAGTGATGGATACCTTGAAGTTCCCAGCTGCCACGCCATCCCACCAAATCCAAGTGTGAATGAACAGAAGTTGCTATGTCTGTAAGCTTGCCCACATGCATAAGAAGTAATTCCCCACCAGAACAGGAGTCAAGGGCACTGGCTCCAGAATCACACTGCTTCTCTTTGGAGTCCTGAGGAGTTTACAACTGAGGCAACTGGGAGCAGGAAAACTCTTGCTGTGGAAGTGAGTACTGCAGGCACACCAGCATTCACCTCTCAAACCATTTTCTAGCAAACACTCCAGTGTAATCAAACATCTCTGACTATAGATTCTATGAAACATATTTATCAGAAAACAGTTTGAAAAAATTATGAAGTCAACTTTACCATACCTAAGTCATCAGCATATCACTAAAAAATTATGTATCATACTTGCTTCTTTTAGAACTTTCATTCTTTTTTGCTTTTGCTTTTTATTTTTGAGGATTTATATGAATGTACATATTATATGTTTACGCCACTCCTATCCCTTCCTCTCCCCCATCCAACTGCTTCCATGGCCCCTATTCTCTTTCAAGATCCTGACTTCTTTAATTATTGTTAAACACACATAACAAACACACTGATCCCATTTAGTGTAACTCTTATTTGCATTAGTGTAGAGCTGGATAATCTATTGAGGAGATGTGTGTTTCCCTGGAGAAGATTAGTTCTAAGCTTAGGGAACAGTGTATAAGAGGAGACAAAACAATTTTAAGAGCCAGAAGAGAAGGATGCTTAATGGTAGATGGGGACTTCTAGACATGACAGTGATGCTGCACCCAGGAAATCTCAATAATACCATTGCCTACACAAGAACTGCATAACGACACCAGTCAACATGTGAACATGCATGGGGAAAGATTACTAAGCCTCATCCCTAGATCTTCTTTTCTTTTATCTATGCCATTCTTAGATTCTGTGAAAGTTCTTGGGGAAATGATCCAAGGAATCACCTTGACTTAGGGCTTGTCAGAGGCAAAAACTAGAAATCACATGGTAATTTCAAGGATTCTTACTGCTTCAATATTACTGTTTCTCGAAGTGCAGCCCGAATATCCACACCATCTGAGAGTTTACAAAATTCACTCCCAGGAATTGTGATTGCTAGATATGGTAGCCAAAGAACCTGTTTCATCAGGCCTCTTTGGCGACTCTCTGACATCTGAAGTGCACAACTCTAAAGTGTGATGTGGTTGACAAGATGGCTCACTGGGAAAGGGTACTTGTGTGTGAGTCATTGGACCTGCATTCATTCCCCAAACATTCATAAATGCAAAAGAAGAGAGCAGATTCTAAAACACTGTCCTCTGATCTCCACACACATGTCACATCACACATATCCAAAAACATACACCCTGTATAAAAACAAATAATGACACATTTCTTGAAAATTGCATCAGGATAGATGGATTAATTCAAAACATCTGCATGGATTTTAAAACTTGTGGATTTCTATATTTCAAAGACACATCTTATTTCCTATATAAAGTTTTTCACCAGATAGGACTGATCAGCTCTATCCTTTTATTTACCTTCCTGTACTGGCTAGTCTTATGTCAACTTGACACACAAGCTGGAGTTATCTGGAAGGATGGAACCAAAATTGAGAAAAATGTCTCTAAAAGATCCAGTTGTAAAGCATTTTCTTAATTGGCAATTAATGAGGGAGGGCCCAGCCTATTGTGGGTAATTGGTACCAACCCTGGGCTGGTGGTCCTGGCTTTCTATAAGAAAGCAGGCTGAGCAAGTCAGGAGAAGAAATCCAGTAGGCAGCACTCCTTCATGTCCTTCTTATCAGCTCCTGCCTCCATGATGAATGGTTCTGTGGAAGTGTAACCCTTTCCTCCCCAACTTGCTTGTGGTGTGGCATTTCATCAAAACAATAGAAACCCTAACTAAACGGCCTTACTATTTCTTGTATGTGCATCTTAACACAATTTATTTTACTTTCATAACTTATTAAATAATACTTCAGTCTCCAATAGAAGGTAAGACCCTGGAGATCAAGTATTAAATACTTTTTCAGTTTTGCAGCTTTAATATCTAGAATAATGCCTATAATTATTTTGTTGAAAATGTACATCTTTATGTGTACATGGATGGATGGATGGATGTACATGAATTATGTAACAGTGTTGTAGAAAATTAGCTTAAATGATGTTACATTCATTTATGCTGTGAAATATGTGTTTAATGATGCAACGATGTGTTGCATTATTTTATGTTGCATTTGTTTAACTCTGTAAAGCTGTGTTACTTTGTCTGCCTAAAATACCTGATTGGTCTAATAAAGACCAATGAATGAATAGGAGGAGAAACTTAGGTTTCAGAGAAGAGGGAGGAGCTAAAAAAGGAGAATAAGAGGAGAATGCCAAGAGTGAGGTACCCAGACACACAGCAAGCCAGGAGTAAAAAGGAAAGAAAGTCATATGGGATAAAGAAAGGTAAAAGGTGCAGAGGAAAAACATAAAGAGAAATGGGATAATCTAAGTTAGAAAAGCTGGCCAGAAACAAGCCAAACTAAGGCTGGGCATTTATAAGTAAGAGTAAATCAAATAAGTCTCCATGTATTTATTTGGGAGCCAGGTGGCAGACCCCCAAAAGAGTAAAAATAAATTACAAACACCTATATAATGGTTCAAATATGAAGATCTTTTCTTGAGTATTGGGAAGAGTTCATTCTATCATTCTAGGCAAGAAGAACCCAAGCCTGCTTTGGTTGATCACATGCCCAAATATTTTTTTCAACTTAAGAAAAAAATTAGTCCAGCTGAAAGTTCTGATTCTGAGCAAACAACTGCAATTTGAGCTTGAATCACTCAGTCTTCCTGGGAAGAGCTGGGAAACATCCCAGTTCTTTCATATGAACCAAGCAGATAACACCACTTGTCCTGGGCCTGCCTCTCAAGGACACTGAGTATATTGACTAATAATGACAACAAATTGCTTTTGAGGTTCTGGGATAAGGCTTCTATATAGACATAGGGAATATTAATAAAAAGATCAAACACACTAGTATTTGAAATATGTCTCACCAACTTTGCCAAGGTCAAGAAGAACAGAGAGATAATCTTCTCCTGAAATAGGAACAGAAAATGATTCATATTCTCTACCTGCTTCTTCATGTGTGCGGCTCTTAGGAGTCCTTTATAGAAGTAGAAATGCAGCATTGAGAACCTTGGAGGAATAGAAGAGGAAAAATTAAAAACATAAAACTAAATTGTCAGAATGGAATCTTCCTTTTTCTAGAATATATAATAGAGGGAAAAGTCAATTCAGATTTCTCCAAATATATTGAGTGGCATCTTCAAAGATGATAACATACAATCAATCTATGCTTAACTATGTGTTTACTCCCTGGTCTAAAATCTAAATAAATTTCCCAATTATATCAGGGAAGATTAAGTGGTGTAGAGGATCCCTTCAGTGACAAAGGACTTGTCAAACAATACCCCCCTTTTCTGCTGCATTTGTTGACATTTTGCTGTGGTGGAGAACCCCCTAAGCATCATACCAATGACTCCTTGAACATGTAGACTATGAGCATATTTAAATGATAGGAAGATAAGAAGTCAGATAGATGATAGCTTGGGAGATGTATGCATACATATGCCAGAGTCTACTGAGACTTTTAAAAAATTATAAATATGGCTACTTTACCTAATAATCTTGAAAGTAGATTTTATCATTGCCATTGTATGTAAAAAAGAGAATAAAAAAATTTAGTGACTAGCTACCTCAAAGTCATGTAAGTGGCAAAGCTAGACTCTCCCTCAGGATTCAGACTAAGCCTCTAAGTCAACTGTTTCCCCTACTACTGTAAGGGAGTGAAAATGAAGAGAAGAAATTGCATAAACCTCACAAACGGATGTTCACTTAGAACAATATTTTCATGTTTTAAATGGTGCTACTCTAAATCAAGATTGTTTGAAAAATTATTTAAGTCCCCTATTTTTACCTATTGTAGAAAAATTTTAAATAATCATATTTTGTTAACTGGGTACCCATATGTAAAACCTTGCAGAAGTTTTCATGGAATCCTTATGTCTTATAATTAGAAATTATTTTTGACAACCAACATGTCTAATTTTTGTAAATGTAGATGATGAAGTTAAACTATACAAGATGATTTGTTGTGGATCTAATGTAAAATTTCTGCCATAGGCTCCTGTGTTTGGACACTTGGTCTCCAGCTGGTAATAGTTTGGGAAGACTGTGGAATCCTCAGGAGGTGAAGCCTTCCTGGAAGTGGGCCACTGGTTTTGGTCCTTGAGGGAATGACATTTTTTATTCACCTGTTGCTTTCTGACTGAAGATGCACTGTGACCAGCTGGCTTCCCACCCCTGCCCCTGCTACAGTCCCTTCCCTACCATGATGAAATGTGTCACCTTGAACTGTAAACCAGAATAAACCTTCCTTAAGTTGCTTTTTGTCTATTTTGTCATAGCAACAAGAAAGGCAAGTAATACACAGTGTTTTCTCAATTTCTATTCTTTTGGGTTTTGACAGAAATAAAAGAAGTAAATAACTCTGGGAAATTGTAAAATAATACCATTAAAGTCTGCTAAAACTAGTGCCGACAAATATCTATGATAAACCCTGCTCCTGTCTCCTGGAGTACAGTTATCGATATTGTTATCTACCTGTGCATGATAAGAATGGGGGAGGGCCACGGAAGAAATGTAATTGTAAGAGGTCCAGGAACATCAGAGTCTATGTCATAGTCACAAAATGTGGTCTCTCCGAGTGAAACAAGAGAAGATTCCTCTTCCTCAATATCTGCTGGAAATTTTTCAAGTAGAAATCTCAAATAGAAAGTTTTCAAATATATAAAGTTTGTGTATACAAGAAAGACATGCCTTAGAATTTATGTAATACACTGTGAATGCAACCACACACAGAGGCCAGAGAAGAGGATTTGTTCTGTTTAAAAAAGTGATCTATGATGCTTTTGAGGTCATCTTTGTTGGAAGCCCCTGCTCCTAATAGTAACACTAAATGCTCTGATCTGAATATGTATGCCCTCACTGAAGTCCATACTATGGAAATTAACCTCCAAGGTATTAAGAAGTACGGCATCTGGGGGTGTCTATGTTATGAGGCATCCACAGCCAAAAATAGAATAAATTACCATAAAGAGGCACTGAAAGAGCTGGTTAGGCCTTTTGACTCCCTACTTAAGAGGACACATTGAAACCACCATCTATGAGATGGTATAGACTTCAGAGGTGTGAAAAATAAATTACTACTGTTCATAAATTACTCATCTGAATGCATCTTCTTATACAGCATCTCAAGTGCACTAGAAAATAGGAAGACATTATTGTGATTCTGAGATAAACAGCAATTACTTGAATAGTAGGCTGTGATGGTTTGAGTGAAAATGGCCCCATAGGCTCATAGGAAGTGGCACTATTTGGAGGTGTGGCCTTGTTCAAGTGTTGGGCCCAAAAAGGGGGACCAACTTGAGGGAGACACACCCCACAGAGTCACTCACAGGACACAAGTTTGATGCAAAAGGATTTTATTCCAATGCTTTGGGGTCACTCCCTGGGAAAAGAACGATCCCCGAGTTTCCAAATAAGCAGGTTTTATGTCTTTTGGGTCATTAGGCAGAGACTGATTGGCTGGACGACTTTGGAAATTTATTTTGTGTTTTACACCTGCAAGTCCATAGGACAGCTAGGTTTTTTGTTTTGTTTTGTTCTGTTTTGTTTTGTTTTGTTTTGTTTTTCCCCTCAGGGAACAGAGTGCCTTATACTTATTTTCAAAACTTGGGTGCTCTGGAGCAGGGCAACCCATAACAATTTTTAGAAACAAGACAGTTGTTGAAGATAATAACATTCCTTGGAAACTAGTAATAATAACAATTTCCACAAACTGGTCATCATGACCGACCATTTCATGTGTTCTTTCTCCCAGAGCTATGTGTGTGGCCAGAGTGATTTTCAAATACATGCTGGTGAGTATCAGGCTGGGTTTGAGTTGGGGTCTTTCATTAGTAGGTGTGACCTTATTCGAGTAAGTGAATCACTGGAGGTGAGCTTTGAGGTTTCAGAAGCTCAAGTCCGGTCAAGTCTCTCTCTCTCCTCTCTCTCTCTCTCTCTCTCTTTCTCTCCCTCTTGTGCTATGTCTATAGATACAGTTGTAGAACTCTCAGCTACTTCTCCAGCACCATGTCTGCCCAAATGCCACCATGCTTCTCACTATGACAGACTAAACATCTGAACCATAAGCCAGACCCAATTAAATATTTTCCTTTATGAGAGAGAGGTGCTGTGGTCATTAGTGTCTTTTCATGGTAATAGAAACCCTATGCCAAGCATACAATCCATAGGAGGGAGCAAAGATTGGTAAGTCAAATTTCAAGATATTATGCCAGGTACTGTTGAGAATAAAAAAATGAGACCCCAAATTATAGAAACTAATTGTAAGTTATGCATAAACAGGTGTCATATATACACTATATGAAAATTTCTCAAAGTACAATAATAAAAAAAAACAAATATCCTGATTTTAAAGAGGATCTGAACAGGCATGTCACCAAAGAGAATACCCAAAAGTCAAGTAGTACATGGAACGATATTTATGTCTTTTGGTTGTTTGGAAAGGTAAATTTAAAGCAGCACGTTGCTATGTATCCAAAAATATCTAAAATACAAAAGGACTGATTATTTGATGATGACATGAAGTTGGAATCCCATGTGTGCCAGTGGCACTATAGCAACATGGCCCTATTGTAAAAACATTTGAAAGATTAAGAAAAAGTTTAGTATGAAAATTCCATGACCCAGATATTTTACTACCACACTCATACGGTGATCATGAAATGAAATAATACACATATGCAAAGACTTGTTTATAAAAGTTTATAGTAGCTTTAATTGTAATAGTCAGAAAATTGAAATTGTCCATCAATAGGTAAATGGGCAAGCGAATCAAGCCATATTCATTCATGATGCAACATGGATGAATCTAAATCACTATACTAATTAAAGGAGCCAAATATAAAGGAGTATAAAGTACTTGGTTCCCTTATAGGAACTTGAGAAAACAAAACAAACAAAAAAATCCCAAAAAACAAATTCATACTGGCACAGATGGTTAGAGGCATTTATCTTAATTTTGATGGTGGTTAACAAGTGTATGTCAAAACTTACCACATCATGCATTTTAAATATATGAGGCTTATTACATGCAAATTATACCTTCAAAGTCATTAAAACTAAATGCAGACTGTATACAGTGTGCAGCTGCACTATAGGCAGCTGTGGAAGGGCTGTGTTAAGACAGAGCAATAATGGGCTCTAGTCTCTCTAAGGTACTGTGCTGGTAGTGTTACGTCAACTTGACACACAAACTAACATTATCTGGAAGGAATGAACCACAATTCAGAAATACCTCCATAAGATCCAGCTGTAGGACATTTTCTTAATTAGTGATTGATGAGGCAGGACCCAACCCATTGCAGGAAGTGCTATCTCTGGGCTGGTGTTCCTGGGTTCCATAAAAAAAAAAAAAAAAAAAAAAAAAAAAAAAAAAAAAAAAGCTGAGCAAGCCATGAGTAGCAAGCTTGTAAGCATAGTAAGCAGTACTCTTCCATGGTCTCTACATCAGCTCCTGCCTCCAAGTTCTTGCCCTAACTTCCTTTGATGATGAGCAGTGTAAGCCAAATAAACCCTTTCCTTCCCAACTTGCTTTTTGGCTGTGGCATGTCACCACAGCAATAGAAACCCTAACTAAGACAGGTACTGGACATCTCTCTCCAAATGGCCCAATTCTCCATGCTTCCTCTGTGTGGGCAGTACTGGTGACTGGTAATTTATTCTGGAATTCCTATTGTTGTGATGGTTGAAGAGGAAAAGGCAACCCAAAAATTCCTGGTCATGTGAGAGGATCAAAGTCTGAAAATGAAGGCCTTCTTTGGGAACTAGATCACAGAATGAAAGTGGTGTCTTAGTCACTGTTCTATTGTTGTCAAAAGATACCATGACCAAGGCAACTCATTTTTAAAAAGCATTTAATCAGGGGTTTGCTTACAGTATCAGAAGTATAATCCATTATCATCATGGCAGGAATCATGCAGCAGGCAGGAATGGTGCTGAAGAAGTAGCCAAGAGCCTCATCCTGATCCACATGAAGCAGGCAGAAAGAAAGAGACTGGGGCTATCATGGG